AAACCTGTGAAGGATCCCTGTAGCCGTGTCATTGTTATAGTACTGCTGTTAAGAAGGCCACGGTACTGTAACAATGCCTTTTTTTATCAATTTTAATACTAATTTCTAAATACTAACAATATTCAACTTGATACAATTCATTAAACATCACACATCCACAGATTTTAGATAATTAATACGTGTTAGGTCAATTAAGGTTGAAAGATGTTATCAATTGACCAATCTTTATTGATATTGGTATTTTCTTGAGGATCTGATCTTTTTTCAATTGCAGTTTGTTCTTCAAAGGTTTGAATATCAAAAAATTCCTCTATTACTAGATTATTATCACCTGTATCAAAATCTGATAATTCGACATCCATTTGTGAAATATCATTTCATCAAATTCTTCAAAAAGAATATCAACATTAGCATTTTCCAAATTTATATTATCAATAGAGGTTGATGAACCCTGATTCTTCATTTTAGTTTTTTTTTTTAATATTTTAGGCAAACTTTGCTGAAGATCATGATGAAGCATTCTGATTATTTCCATTTGAGCAGGAGACATTCTATTTTTTGATTTTGTTTTCACTAAACCCAAATTAGAAAATAGATGCTCAACAGCCATTGCATGTAGGACAATTGCAAAGATCTTTATTGCAAAATGTTGAAGGAATGAAAAACCTTTACAAAACTGAGACTAAAACTTTCTTGGATTAAAATTATTGGTATTTATATAGATAGTTAAAGAAATATTTTATTTTTGTAATTTATGAGTTCTTAATACAAAAGGGTTGCTTCTTTTTTTATCAAAATCTCAGGTTTTTGCTAACTCCAAGATGCTTCTAATAATCGTATCTCCGGACATTTTTTTTGAAATTGCTATTTTTTTGTAATTAAATAACAAAAAAAGAGCAATAAAGTAAATACTATCAGAAAACTCACAAGCACGCTTATCGATAGCTGTTAAAGCATAGTCTTTAAAGCCAAATATTAAAATATCTAAAGAGAAAATAGTATAACGAATATTTATTAACTCTTTACAAATATCGGCTAACGTAGTATTTCTTGATTCAAGATGACCAATGGCATCTACAATAGGAATAAGCACTGTTACTAGTATATCATTATAGGCAAAATGATAATGATTATTAATTATATCCTGAATTTCTTTTCTAATTATAGAATAATCATTAGTTTTACTAAGCATAATACAATATTGAAACCTCTTACAGGCTTTACTTGTCCTGATATGAAAAGCTATGATAACCAATAGACTAGATTTTGGCATTCCAATTAAAAAATTGCGGACAATAGATATAAAGGCAAATGTTTTTATTGTAATTTAGAAATATCGAGCAGGTCTGAAAGGCTTCATAACTATGTTCTTCAATATGATTGCTGGCCTGCTACTGATAAAAGCAATTATATTAAAAAAATTGCTAGCTCTAATTCTCAAAAAAAAGTTAAAATTAGTTCTAAGTCAGATCAGGAACAGTTA